AATAATAAATAAAATATTTAAAAGTGCTAACTCAAAATGTCAAAAAGCTCTAAGAGCTCTTAGAGCACAGGGAACCAAACAATATAAAGAAATTGGACAACATAGAGTTAACTGGACAAGCTGCTTTGGAAGGTCACAAGCAAGTTGGAGGAATGCCACAAAGTTCATTGCACACAAGGAACTGTGTGGAGGTGTCAGCCAGTACATTGACAGATACCACACCCTGCATCTTGAGCTTGTTATTCCAAAACCTTGAAGATAGTCAGTAGCCATAGCAGAACTTTGTTCCTAGATAGCAGCTGGGGAAAAGTGACTGAGAAAAACGTTTGTGTCTTGTGAGAAATCATGTATTGTACTTCTGCTTCTCATGCTGTAATTATTTTGCAAGGCCAATCAAAGAAAAAGGAAAAGTGGCCTTGGGGCTCTCGCCCTGGTGGTGCTGAGCCCTCTGCTATCTTTGAAATAAGCATTCCCTATGTCCAGGGTTACTTTTGGGACTAAACATCAACACCTGGTGCTGTAAGTAGTGTGTTTTGGGTGCACCTAGTTTTCATGTAATTGTGTCATATATGTCTATGATAATCATTTTCAAGTACTGTTTAAAATTCCATATAATTATGTCATGTATTTTTATGTTTCCGTGTGTTGAGATCTCATGTAATTATGTCATGTGTGTTCATGATAATTGTCTTTATATGTCTTTATGTCTAGATAATTTCAAACTCTGGCCACTTTAATTTTTTTATTTTTCAATCTTTTTATTGTGCACAAAATTATTGGTTTTATTTTTGACATGCCTAATTGAAATATACAAGTACAAATTTACATTCAAAGGCCTTATAAATCTGGGTACCCTAATCATTTTTAAATCTATTAAACAGTGTCTCTAGGTCTGCAGTTATGTAAAAATCCTATTTGTTAAGTACCATTTTGGCTCTGGTTTGCTTTCAAGATGTTTTAAAATATCCATTTTGTTTGTACACAGTCTATATAAACTTATAGTTCTTAAGTATCAAATTAACTTACAAATAAAGTTTCATAGAAACTGAAAGTGTTAAATTAATCTAAAATATTTTTTCCAGATCAAAATATTTTCTCTTTAATCTTTAATCTTAATTCTTATTCTATATTACGTTCTTATTACTTAAAAATATACTCATTTTGAGTAATAATTACCTTTTATTCCAGGAAATATGTTAAGCATTTTACCACTACTGTCTCTTTAAAGCCAACAAACAGGTACATCAAGGTTCATATCTTTACCAAGCTTATGTAAAAAAAAAAAATCTCTAAACATTAAAAAAAATTGACTAAGCCAGGCGTGGTAATGCACGCCTGTAGTCCCAGCACTTGGGAGGCAGAGGCAGGTGGATATTTGTGAGTTCAAGGCCAGCCTGGTCTAATAGTGAGCTCTAAGCCAGCTGGGGCTACAGGGAGACCCTGTCTAAAAAAGACCAAAAAAAAAAAATTGACTACTTAAAGTTTATATATTGTACTGGTATGTCTAAAATGGTTATTCATCTATTTGTAGTATAAAAAACTGAATATTGATTACTTGATGGATTCTCTCTTCTGTCCTCTGCAGGCATTGCACGACACAGGTCCACTTACATACATGCAGCCAATACATGCATGCATATAAAATAATGATAAAATAATAAAAGTTAAAAAAGTCAAAGTTAGTAAAATTAAGATAGCTAGATGTTTCTAAAGTAGAAGGGTTAATAAATATGTTTAAACAAGTTTATTAAAAGTATAAACAGAAAAAAAAGAATAAACAGGTATTTATAAAAACACAGGATTGTTGTTATAGTAATTACTGTTGCAGCCAAAAAAATTTTCAGTCCACTTATTTGACACTCCCAGTCACAGTCTTGCATTAAATGGGTACAGACAAGTATTGGACCTATAACTACAAAAAGATGACATTAATGTTTCTCTGTATTATACAAGTGTTACTTTTGGTTTTCCTTTACCCATAACAAAATAATTTGACTCAAGAAAAACTAGGTTCACTTGGGAGGCAGAGGCAGGTGGATCTCTGTGAGTTCAAGGCCAGCCCGGTCTACATAGTGAGTTCCAGGACAGCTGGGGCTACAGGGAGACCCTGTCTCAAAAAGCCAAAAAAAAAAAAAAAAACCAAACAAAAAAAAAACCCAAAAAAACCAAACAAAAACAAAACCCCCAAACCCAAACAAATAAAAAACTAGGCTTTGCCTTCTGGAACCAGATGGGATAGTCCAAAAGAAAACAGCTTCACTTGGTGAACTTGGTTTAAATTTGGACCAGTTTATTTCCTGTCTAAAGATATGTAACCAGGTATTGATTTCTTATCTAGACTCCACTCCAGACAGCTATAAACAAAACTATCTCTCAACCTGAGGTATAAAATATTTTGCTTCAGACCTTAGCCTTTAAAAATGCAAAGCCAGGCGTGTTGGCGCATGCCTTTAATCCCAGCACTTGGGAGGCAGAGGCAGGCGGACCTCTGTGAGTTCAAGGCCAGCCTGGTCTACATAGTGAGTTCCAGCTCACAGCTGGGGCTACAGGGAGACCCTGTCTCAAAAAGACCAAAAAAAAAAAAGCTAATACTAAAGGTCAAAGTCATTATGGGCTGAAGGAGCGCTGTTACAAAACTAATATTAATATTAAATCTGATTCTTATAAGACTAATTTATTAGCAACTACATATGTTGATAAAATACAAATTATTTTAAAAGAACGCTTACATTGTAGAGCCTTGGTAGGAATAGATCCTACAGATATTGTGGTTCCACTAACTGATAAACAACAAGATTTGTTAAAAGTAAATGAAGAATGGCAAATTGCATTAAGTAATTTTATTGGGAAACTCTTTAATCAATATCCAAAAAACCAAAAGAATACAATTTCTTAAATTAACAGATATCATTTTAGATAAAATTATTGTTTCAGAACCTATTTGACATAGCTTAACTTTATTTACAGATGCTAATAAAATCCATCTAGCAGGTTGTACTGATGGCAAACATGCATAAATTACAAAAGACACCCTATTCATCAGTACAAAGGGCTGAATTAGCTGCAGTTATCATGGCATTAACAGATTATTCACAAGCTTTAAATATCGTTACAGTTTCTCAATATACAGCATTTACTGTTCAACATATATCCACTGTTTATTTGTATTCTGATAATACTGAGTTATATCATCTCTTTCTTCAGTTGCAATCTTTGTTACTTCAAAGGCAATTTCCACTATTTATTACTCATATTAGATCTCATACTAATCTCCCTGGGCCTATAGCAGATACTAATAAAAAACAGATGAAATGTTACAACATCAACTGTATCCTTGTAATAATCTTACTGATATAATTAATTTTCATCGAGATACAAATGCTGATTGGAGAACGTTGGTTCACCAAGTCAACATTCCACAGAGATTGGCTAAGACTATTGTAAGGCAATGTGACATTTGCCAATCAATTCCCTAATGGTCTGAACCCCCGAGGGTCGCAAGTTAATGATATATGATAAATGGATGTCAAACGCCAAAATGTTTGGAAAACTGCAATATGTCCATCATATTAGACTTATTCCACTTTTCAGTGGGTAACTACATTACTAAATGAAAAAGGTTCTTCTGTAATCTTAAATTTAAAAAAAGCCATGAATATTACGGGAGTTCCTAAACAGTTAAAAACTGATAATGCTCCAATTTATCTATCTCAAAAATTTCAATCATTTCTTTCTCAATGGCATATCAAGCATGTTACTGGAATCCCATACAATCCACAAGGACAAACCATTATTGAATGATAAAAGAAACAGAATTTCTACTGCCTATATGGTATAAGGATGTTGCTACAAACAACTGGCATAGAGATGTGTTTAAAATGGGGAAAAGGTTATGCTTTTATTTCCACAGGCCATGATTAGTTTCAGATTCTAGATCATCTCATAAAATGTCAAAATGAAGCCATGTGTAGTGGCGCACGCCTGTAGTTGGGAGGCAGAGGCAGGTGGAACTCTGTGAGTTCAAGGCCAGCCTGGTCTACATAGTGAGTTCTAGGACAGCTGGGGCTACAGGGAGACCCTGCCTCAAAAGGACAAAAAACAAAACAAAACAAAAACAACAACAAAAAAAATTCAAAATGAACAAATGCCCATGCTTCCATCCTGACCTGGCCATTGAATGAATGGCTCATCTTACTTTGGGCCTGATTACACAGAGGGTGGCCAGACCACTGCCCTCTACTAATTCTTGTGCCCTTCTCACAAGGTGTCAACTGAAGAAAGTAGCCGAGAAGGTGATTTCATGGTTCAACCTCTGGGACAAAATCGTAATCCTAAAACTTTATTTTTAGCTGTGCTTGCAATAACTACTGTACAAGTGTGTACTGCTACTAATTTTTCTTATTGGGCTTATATTTCAAATCCACCTCTAAATTGGGCTGTTCACCGGGGAGATCCCATTATCCCAATTTACACTAATGATCCTAATTGGGTGCCTGGCTCTTATGATAATTGGGGTCCCTTATTCCCACAGAAGGAGGGGCAGATACTTAATACATCTTCTATAGTAGGAGTCCACGGTGCTCCCATTTGTATAGGTGCTGAAGAGGCTGTTCGAAGGGAACATATCGTGTTTGGCTATCTATTCTAAGAAATGGCACAGAAGGAGATAGTAAAAAAGTTATGTATATTACTGGGAAAAGGATTTAAAAATAATAGTATTGGCCGGGTGTGGTGGCGCACGCCTTTAATTCCAGCACTTGGGAGGCAGAGGCAGGCGGATCTTTGTGAGTTGGAGGCCAGCCTGATCTACATAGTGAGTTCCAGGACAGCTGGGACTACAAGGAGACCCTGTCTCAAGACAAAAACAAAACAAAACAAAAAAAAAAACCAAAAATAGTACTGGGCCGAGGGGGCACAATGATGCAACAGGGTGTCACCGCCGCTCCCTGGCAGCCGTGGCGGGAAACGCTGCCCGAAGAACCTGGATGCCTCTCTAGAGCATGAGCTCAGGCAAAAGTACCCGCTACAACCGCTTCTCTGGGGGGCCTGCCAAACTTCCCTCCCCAGAAGGCAGCGGGGCCAGAATGGAAAAGACCTTTGGGCCTGCCTTTTCAGCGGCCACCACCATCACCAAAGCAGCTGATGGAACAAACACATACAAACAGCACCGCGGGACGCCTTCTTCCTCACCACGGGATGAGGAGGACAGCATGCCCCTATCAGCACTCCTCGCCGCTCTGACTTAGCCATCTCTGTTCCCTGCACTCCGAGTCCGGCAAGTCTCTGCGCTCCACATTCTCGGTGCCGAGGAAGAGGAGGAGCTGGAGCCACTGGTGTTTGCGGAGCAGCCTTCAGTGAAGCTATGCTGCGGCTCTGTTGCAGTGCGTTCACGGACCCTGTGATCACCGGTTGTGCGCACTCGTTCTGTAGATGTGCCTTGAAGTCAGAGAAGTATCCTGTAGACAACGCCAAGCTGACAGTAGTGGTGAATAACATTGCGGTAGCTGAGCAGATTGGTGAACTCTTCATCCATTGCCGACATGGCAAACGTGCAGCAGGTGCTGGGAAGCCTAGTGTCTTCGAGACCTCCGCGGCCGCCCCTTCACCATAAAGCTCAGTGCCCACAGCCAGGGAAGCTGTGACTACAGGTCTGTGCGCTGCTCCAACAACCCCAGCTGTCCACCCCTGCTCAAGATGAACCTAGAGGCCCACCTGAAGGAGTTCGAGCACATCAAATGTCCGCACTCTAAGTACGAGTGTACATTTATGGGGAACCAGGACGCATATGAGATACGCTTGGAGACGTGCTGCTTTGAGGGCTTGAAGGAGTTCCTACAGCAGACAGATGACCGTTTCTATGGGATGCATGCAGCACTGGCCCAGAAGGACCAGGAGATTGCTTTCCTGCGCTCTACGCTGGGCAAGCTCTCAGAGAAAATTGACCAGCTAGAGAAGAGCCTCGAACTCAAGTTTGATGTCCTGGACGAGAACCAGAGAAAGCTTAGCGAAGACCTCATGGAGTTCCAGAGGGATGCGTCCATGTTGAATGATGAGCTGTCTCACATCAACGCATGCCTGAACATGGGCATCCTTGGATCCTATGACCCTCAGCAGATCTTCAAGTGCAAAGGGACCTTTGTGGGTCACCAGGGCCCTGTCTGGTGTCTGTGTCTATTCCATGGTGTTGAGTCTCTGGGACCCTCATAATTGTGGCATAACTTATGACAAGGCCTATTGTAACTTCCTGAGCCTGACTAAAGTTTGGCGACCTGTCTCTGGCCGGTCACTTCCTCACGGAGGTGACTCAGCAGAGCCTGACCTCGGACTGCCTCTCCCCAATCACAGCTGGTGTGGCCAATTCCCAGTGGCTCACAGCCATTGCCCCAGATGACATACACCTTTGCCCTTCCCCTTTCCACACCCCTTTTTGATTAAACTATATAAGGTAATGCCTGATGCAATAAAGTGAGTTCCTGCCTCGACAAGACTCCCGACTCGGTGTGGTTTTTGAGTGGCCGACACTCACCATCCTGCTCAGCCCCTGAGAGGAACACAGGCTGGTCCTGGCCTCTCTCCCTGTGCTGTACCTGTCGGAGAGCGATCCGACACCATGGGTGACCTGCTTTTTAGTGGCTCTTCTCACAAGACCATCAAGGTGTGGGACACATGTACCACTTACAAGTGCCAGAAGACACTGGAGGGCCATGATGGCATTGTGCTGGCACTCTGCATCCAGGGGTGCAAACTGTACAGTGGATCTGCAGACTGCACCATCATTATGTGGGACATACAGAACCTGCAGAAGGTGAACACCATCGGGCCCATGACAACCCTGTGTGTACATTGGTGTCCTCACACAACATGCTCTTCAGTGGCTCCCTGAAGGCCATCAAGGTCTGTGACATGGTGGGCACTGAGCTGAAATTGAAGAAGGAGCTCACAGGCCTCAACCATTGGGTGTGGGCCCTGGTGGCAGCCCAGAGCTACCTGTACAGTGGCTCCTACCAGACAATCAAGATTTGGGACATCCGGACCCTCAATTGCATCCATGTCCTACAGACATCTGGTGGCAGTGTCTACTCCATCACTGTGATGAATCACCACATTGTCTGTGGCACCTACAAGAACCTCATCCATGTATGGAACATTGAGTCCAAAGAGCAGGCGCGGACCCTAATGGGCCACGTGGGCACAGTGTATGCCCTGGCAGTCATTTCAACACCAGACCAGACCAAAGTCTTCAGTGCATCCTATGACCAGTCCCTTAGGGTCTGGAGTATGGACAACATGATCTGCACACAGACGCTGTTGCGCCACCAGGGCAGTGTGACCACGCTGGCTGCATCCCGGGGTCGCTCTTCTCAGGGGCTGTGGATAGCACTGTGAAGGTTTGGACATGCTAACTGAATCCAGGCCAGGCTTTGTCTCCCCTGGGTGTGGTAGTCAGGCTGGCCCTATGTGATAGTCCTGGAGTTCCTGCCTCTCCTGTGGAAACGGACAGGCTCAGGCAGCACTTTCTCTGCCCTATGCTCGGTGAGCCTCACTGTATTAGGCCCTGCCCTCACTTCTGCCAGGGGAATGCCCAGGTCCCTTTCTGGTGCCAGGTATGATGCTTACCTGGCCCACCCTTCATCACTCCAGAGGGACTAGGGGCCTTTTTACTCACCTTTTCTACTGATTTTAGACTGTATATAGATTTGATTACTTCTCTGTTGAAATAAAAGCTGCACAGACTGTGAAAAAAAAAGTAATAGTACTAATCACACTTTCTCTCCCCCCCATGCCTCCTTGTCAGACACCAGTAGTCTCAGAGATAAGAGCTTGGATACAGTGGGAACAACATCGAGGCCCTGAAGTCTGAGTTCTTGCTAATACTTCCTATGGAAGCGTCATTGATTGGAGCCCTGTGGGCTTGGCTCGACAAAAAGGGAAGGTAAAGAGTTAAGATGGCATCAAGAAAATGTCTTTACTATCTACTGAAAGTAATGCCATGGGAGGGTTGGTTTGGCACGGTGCGAGGATGTCTCCGCCCTCTCCTCATTAGGAGGGAGGCGCTACTCAAGAACATCTTTGGAAATTAATTACTGCTTCTACACAGTGATGGGCTTGGAGAGGGGAAATTTGGAAAAATAGCTCTAATAATAATACTGAATTGTCATTTGTTAAGAATGTTTCTCATAATATTATGGCTTGTGTTTGATTACTGTTATGTGCTGATTGGATCGACTAAGTGGAATCAGACAGAAGGATCTGTCACTTGTGAGAATTGTGCTCTGTATACCTGCATAAATTCCCCTTTTCCAATTAATTATACTACACAGACTTCATACACACTCTGTGCTCTTGTGGGCGTTTGGATGCCCGTGCAGCTCGATCGACCTTGGAAAGAGTCACCCTCGATGTCTATACTTTATCATATTCTTGAAAATGTAAAATGCAGAACTGAAAGAATGATTGGCCTTATCATCGCGGCTGTTCTGGGGATTATCGCTATTACTGCTACTGCTGCAACAGCTGGAGTTGCCCTACAGCAAAGTATTCAGACTGTACGATTCGTGCAACAGTGGCACTCGGACTCTGAAACATTATGGAATTCTCAAAGGATATTGATAGTGTTCTCAATGCTGAAATTACAGATTTGGAATCTGCTGTAGTTATAGCATCAAATTATTTACAAATTGTTAGATTACAAAGACAGCTATCATTGAGGTGTGATTAGATTGTATCTCAATTTTGTGTTTCATCTATACATTGAAATTCAATGACATTCCCTTGGACTGGGTTAAAAAACATTTGTTAAATCATGGTAATATGACACAGGAGATATTGAAATTGCAGGCAGATATTACTTATAACTTTTTTAGTCAGCTAAAAGATATTTCTGGTCAAAATCTCTTGGAATTGCAGATGGTTTAGGGAAACTAAGTCCATTTAATCAACTTAAGATTTTAGCACAATGTATTCCATTCTGTTTTTATTAATGATTGTTATGTTTCTTCTATTGCGTATAGTCTGGCGGAGGTCCTCCCAAAACCAAGTGATTTCTCGGCATCGTGCTGTAGTTCGTCTTATGTTACAAAACCTTGCTAAACAAAAAGGGGAAGATGATGGAGCTCAGTTCTGCAGAAGGTGAATCAAGGATAAGATAGCATCCAGCTGTCTCTTGAAAACAAGAGAATGTTTGGACATTGGGGGAACACCGCCTCCCAGTCAAGGGCAGAACATGGCCTTAGGATAGTCAGAATGATAGGGGATGGGCTTGTGTTTTCCCTTCTCACAGACTGGAGCTCTTGGAAACAGTTTGGTTAGTAACAGAAAAGAAAAACACCCTTTACTTTGAACTTTGCCTGATTTATGTTTTGAACGCTGTGTCCTTGACTGACCCTGCTCATTAGGTATAAAGAGCCACTCTTAGAATTAAACTTGCCTTTCTCCACCTGAGATTTTGGTCCTTTGCCTTCATTCATTTCACTGTTCACCAGCAGACCTGAGTCTCTACAGAAGGGTATTTGGGGACACAAATTAAACTTGATAGGCCTTAAAAAATAATTAATACAAGACATGAAATCAAGTGATAAATAATAAAAGGGGGTGCTGATATGAGAGGGGATCAGAATATGATAAAATTAAAAAAAAAGACTCCCTCAGAAAAGCTAGGTGGGATGGCTCTCACATGTAATCTCAGCACTTCAGGAGGCTGAGGCTGGATCACTTTGGATTCAAGGCCATTGTAGGCTACACAGTGTTTTTCCAGAATATCTTGTGCTACAGACTGATATTCTCTCTCAGAAGAAAAATAATGACAATGACAAACCAACACACAAACAAGCAAAAAGGGCTAGGGAGATGGCTTAGTCAGTAAAGTGTTTGGCACACAAGCGTGAGACCCGAGTTCAGATTCCCAGAACCCACACAAAAAAGCTGCACATAGTGGTGTGTGCCTGTGATCTCAGCCCTGGAGGAGCAGAGATAGGATTGCTTGGGTTTACTGGTCAGCCACTCTAGCTGAATTGGACAGCATCATATCTGTGCATGAGAGAGGCCTGGGAGTTGGTACAGAAAAGCTAAAATATTCTGCTGGTAGGCTCTGTATTGCTTCTCTTGCTTTCTTATAATCAATACTGTCAAGAGAAAAATATAATCAAAAAGACTTCTTAGACCTGGTTCAATGTCTAAGGAGTGAAGAGTCAGATGTCTTAGGCCATACCTGCTCCATTCTGCACAAACGATTTGTTTGGCAGAGTTGGGGGGAGACTGTTGTCCCTTGGAATAAATGCCCATTTCTCTTACCTTTAGACACAAGTATTCTTTTGTTTGTGGTTCTTAGTTCTCAACTAGTGTAACTTCCTTCCTGTCCTATTAATCAGTCTTCTCCTTATCCTTTTCAGGTCAGACCTAGGGCTACTTCTGCTTTCAAGACTAGGGGCAGCAGGAACCAATTTAGAGATGCTGAAGTGGTTGTTCTTGCCTGAAACTAACCTCTAGCTAAGCATGCCCTTAGTGTGACCCTAAGACCTCTGTGAAACGCCCATGAAACCTGTGGCTGCACTGCTGCTTTGGCTTGCCTGACATTTGCCTTCCTGCTTAGGCAACCGAGGATAGAGGGGGAAGAGTCCAGAATGAACAACAGGAAACTTTGAGGATGATAACCTGCCCCAACGTGACAAGTTGGTAAACCATATCCTCAGGAGTGAGGTCTGGGGATTGGTGGATAAAGTTAATATGGCATGGTGATGGAGCCGTGTCTTTTCTTATTTTTTTTCTTTCTAAAAAATTGCCTATTGTCCAGGTCCTCTGCAAGAACAGCCAGTTCTCTTAGCTGCTGAGCCATCGCTCCAGTGCATATTTCCCCCTTTTTTTTTTCCCTTTTGATTTTTTGAGACAGGATCTCTCTGTAGTCCCAGCTGCCTGGAACTCACTATGTAGACAAGGCTGACCTTGTAGATCTCACAGATCTACCTGCGTCTGCCTCCCGAGTACTGGGATCAAAAGCATATTTAATCCCACACCCGGCCCATATTTTCCTAAATATTATCATAATACTACTGCATAGTCAATACAGTCAGGAAACATAGAATTAATGTGGCTTCTTAGACCCACTCCAACCTCCCAAGGGTTGTACAGGATCAGGATATTGGGAACACAACAGCCACATCACTAGTAGACTTGAGACACAGGGGTGGCACAGTGATAGCTAATGTGGACTGAGCACTTATTTCACATTCTTTAACGTTTGTTATCTCATTTAATTGTCAAAACAGCCACATCACTAGTAGACTTGAGACACAGGGGTGGCACAGTGATAGCTAATGTGGACTGAGCACTTATTTCACATTCTTTAACGTTTGTTATCTCATTTAATTGTCAAAACAGCCACATCACTAGTAGACTTGAGACACAGGGGTGGCACAGTGATAGCTAATGTGGACTGAGCACTTATTTCACATTCTTTAACGTTTGTTATCTCATTTAATTGTCAAAACAACCCTAAGATGACTTCTGTTTTCCACACAAGAACAATGAAATTTAGAGAGTAACTTTATCAAGGTCATATACTTATAGAACTAGGATTTAACATCTTCCACCCAGTTTGACTCATTCTGTATTAGTTACTGCTGCTTTAGTTTGACCAAAATAGATGACATAGACAATGTAAGAGATGAAGGGCTTATTTTGGCTCATGGTTTCACAGGGTTTCAGTCTGTTATGGCAGGGAAGGCAAGGCAAAGCTCTGTTCAGTGCAAACAGAGTGTGTAGCAGAGGCTGTTTACATCACAGAGGACTAGGAAGGAGGGAAGGATGAGTTGGAATAATGTATTCACAAGGCTTTTCCCCTGATGATCTACTTCCTTCCACTAGACTCCACCTTCCAAAATTCCACAGTCTTCCAAAATTGCTTGACCAGCTGGGGGCCAGGTGCTCAAAATAGGAGTCTGTGGCGATACTTCTCACAACGTGCTACAAAAGGCTTAACCAGTTGGCTGAGGATATACGAGGTGGGAGGAGGAAATTATTTTGGAAATCCAATGTTGAAGTCAATCCAGTATCAATGGAAAAACAAGGACCTTCTCAGGACAGTCAGTTCTCTGTGGCATGTTCTGTGAATGTGATGGGTCAAGCAAATGGGAAGTTTAGGGCCAATTTGTGTAGGTAAAGGAAAAAGATCTGGGAGAATTTGTTGGGAGAGGGGAGTTTTTTGGGTGCCATGTGGGTCAATGGCAGTTGGTGAAAGAGACCTTGATACCTTCATTGCTCTGAGAGCAAAGCAAAAATATCTGAGAACAGAAAAATGGCATAAGGAGTTTTAGAAGTTGACTACAGAGGCTTCAGTGATGTAGAACTCAGCGTTTGAAGGAAGGGAGAACATGTGCAGATACTTAAGGGAAGGTGTCCAGTCAGAGGG